TAGAATGTATTATTTGTTTCAGAGGTACAGGTCTGTGATTCAACAGTCTTACACAATTCACAGCGCTCACCATAGCACATACCCTCCCCAATGTCTATCACCCAACCACCCCATCCCTGCCACCCCCTACCCCTCCGGCAACCCTCAGTTTGTTTCCGAGATTAAGAATTCCTCATATCAGTGAGATCATATGATACATGTCTTTCTTGATTGTACTCTCTTAACACCTGTTACCTATAGGAGAAATACAAAAGGTATTAAATATCAGGTTCTTTCAGTTCACACTTCATTCTTCTAAATGATGACTATATAATGCTATAGGTCTATTTGTGAAAGAAAGGAAGTGACTATACAGACACAATGAGGTGGAAAAATGAGTAATTATCAAGTGAATTAAATCCATTTTATACTTTCCTTTCCCTTCCTCAAAGATAATTACTTTAGCACTCTCATTCTACTGTCTATGTAGACTGGCTACAATACCTGATGGGACAGCAAGCTGTGAGCTTTGTGGAGAACCAGGAACACCTTAGCTTGCATGACCTTTAATCTCTGCTTCACTCTGCCACTTGCAAACAGCTTAGCACAGAGCAATGGTTTTCAGAGTATGGGCTCTAGTCAAGCTGCGACAGCATTACTAAAGCATAACTTTTAAAAAATGCAAATTCTCAGGTCCCACCCCAGCCCTACAGAATCAGGACCGCTGCTTAGGGCCCAATATTCAGTATTTTAATAAGTTTTCCACGTTATTCTAATGCACACTGAAATTCAAGAACCTCTAACATGGAGGAACAAGCCTGGCATTTGGAATCTAGCTCTGCTTCTTACTATGTAAACTGAAGTCGGCTATAGAATCTCTTTGGGAAGCAGTTCCATCTACAAACTGAGTTTATAAGAATAAGTCTTATTGGCTCTAACTTCAAAATATATGTTAAGTCTCTCCATTTATTTTCCTTCCTTAAGTCCTAGCCACCAACATCTCACCTAGATGGCTCCCTGACTGGTTGTCCTGCTTTTGCTCTTGGTTCCCCATAATCTATTCACCACAAAGCAACCGGAGTGGTCTCTAAAGACATGAATCATATTGAGTCATTTCCCTGCTTAAAATCCTCCATTATACTCAAAATAAAACCCAAACTCTGTGCCTGGCTTGTAAGGTATCAGTCGCCCTCCAATTTTTCAAAACTTTTTGCCTTTTCTCACCATGATTTAGTTATACTGGCTTTCCTGATGCAGCTCAAACATGTCAAGTGATTTCCTGTCTCGGGGCCTTTGCAATTCCTTACCTTCTGACTGGGATGTACTCCCCTTGAAAGTCTGGCTCTTTCTCACCCTTTAGTTTTCAGCTCAGAGTTCAATTCTCTGACTAGTCTTCCCTGACTATCTTATCTTAGGAAGCCTCTCCCCTCCTCCTTATTTTCTGTCATATCATCCTAATTATTTTCTTCATAATTCTTATCACAATATGAAATTTTCTAGTTCATTTGTTTTCTTAATAGTATATTGTCTTCAACTTCTAGTAGAATACAAGCTCCTTGAGGGCAGGGATTTGTACAGCAACCCTACAGCCTAACACTGCCTGCCACAGTTACAGAGACCTCTTTAGGCAATAGGCTTGAGCAATGCAAACTTGAGCAACGTGAAAGGGTCCAGAGTGACCACCGAGCTGAATGCAAACAGGATTGTTAAGCTACCCACCTTGAAATAGTCAAAGGCCCTAACTGACCAATTACAACAGGGCAAAGTTCCTAAGGTTACCAAAAAAGGGAAAATTCCTTATGTTCCCATACTCCCTCACTCCACCCTATAACTATAGCCCTTCACCACCGCCTCATGGCAGACATTATCTCTTTTGCTGTCCTGCTCACTGTTCCCTGGCAGTGTTCAATAAACTTCTATCTCCTTTGTTATAAATTGGGTGAATTTTTTCACTGCCTGTGCCGCCGGCCCTTACCCGATCAGTATGTTTCACAATACAACAGGCAATGAAAAAAATAGTTGTTGAACAAATTAATAATATATTAAAATCCTTGGAAAATGTCTACCTTGAACAATAAAGATTTATTGTATTTTACTCTTTAAAATTACAGATCTGTATTGTAGAAAGTTTTTTATGCTGAAAAATGTCTGAAAGAGCAGATTAAAACTAGACCACACTGTATAATGTATAAACTTCTCCAGCCACTATATCCCATACCTGAAACTAATGTAACATTGTGTGTCAACTATACTCAAAATAACAACGACAACAAAACAACAAAACAGAAACTAGACCACGCTGGTCAAGTATAAGTCACGGCAAAAATAAATTGGAAAGACAGGGTAGGGTAAAATGTTTTATTTTAGAACGAGTTTTAATTCTTCACGCATCTCAAACATGAGTAGCACATGCTAACCGAAAGGTACAGCTATAGTGGGAGCGCTCCTACCAGAAATAGGGGCTCCCATCATTCTGATACAGGGATGATGGGAACAACAGAATCATGTCCAGCAGGCCCCTGGAGGAAGGTTAAATGGCTCCAGTGTAAGATGAGAAAAATGGCCATTTTGCTAAGCCAGATGAGAAGTTAGCACACCTGTGGTTGTTGAAGTGGAGACTTGATGAACAGAATAAACAATTGGAACCATAAAAAGAGAAGCAAGTTTCTAAAGTCAAACCCATGGTTTATAATCCCTGAGTATAGCACATCTTAATGTTGTAAGAAATTCTCTTGTCAACAAAGACAGAATGTTCACGGATATGTGACTGGGGCTATTTTCTCCCCTTTTGTGATATACACAGTGATTTTAATTATAGTAACTCATTTAAATTGGAGATCTAGACAGCTGGATATTAGGAACTCCCAGCATTGGGAAAACCCAATAGAGACCAAAAAAATGAAAGAAAAAAAATGACAGCCAAGCACTTTTGTATAATTAATCTCTCCTGTGACAATGAAAACAGTTCGATGATTTCTGTGTCACTGATATGCTAGTTGAGGAAAAACAAAAGAATAAACATAGATGCAACAGCCAAGCACTATTAAAGTCAACTGATCTGACAAGCTTTCTAATACCAAGGGTGGTTGACAACTGAGAAAAAAGCTGAGTTATCTTCAGAAAGCAGGCAAATTTCATTCCGCTTTTCCCCCCATGCATGGATGCAGATAACTTCATTTAAAAGGGAAACACTGTTAGAACCTGATTTTCATCTCCAGGGCAGGATCCCTGAAGAAAAAAATCCATTTTACTGCACAAGGCTGAAGGCCAGTGACAAGTTTGATTCTCTAGAACAGTGACTCTGGAGTATTCTTTTTCCAGTGCAGGAAAACTTTGACCCACTAGAAAGCACTACACCAACTCTTGGTTATAAAACGTTTCATACTTTCATAACAAAAACAGATACTTCACTTAAAAGAAAACCACGAAAGTGAAAATGACTTTATTCAATTAGTTGAGCAACTGAAATAACACTTAGGAACAATCACAACTAAATTGAAAAGTCTATTCGGCTAATAAAAAAGAGAAAAAATTGGCCATTTACCCGAATAATTTCAGGTTGTCCTTACCTGACATATAAGAAATCATTATTACGCTCGTGAGAAAAATGTACCCTAAACACTTGAAAAATACATCAGTTTTATTTCACTAAACAAATATGTCACTTTTGGTTCTATGTTTTTTCAGTCAATGAACTATGGAGTCCTTTGCTTTTCAACCAATCAAATATGGTATCAACTACCACAGTTTAAGAAAGAGCCAAGATCAAATATCAAGTCCATCATTTGACTTGAGTAGAATTAGTTCTTTATAATTGTTGAAGAAAGATGAATGATTAAAGAAGTGTGTACGTTTATTCAAAAAACTGTTGTCCAGGTAGGTCATCATGTGAAATAGTTTCTAGATCCATGTGTGCTTGCCTGCCACCCTGGATATGCCAGGTATGTGAGTTCTAAATCCTGAGGGTCATGTGGGGGAGCTCCCTGCAAGCTAGCTGATACTCCAAATCTCCACTCAGTTTCCAATCATGTTTCTAAAGAAGATTTTATGACTAATGAACAAAATCTTTGGCTATGTCTTAAAACCGAAATGCTTTGGGAGAAGAATTGGTGAAATAAATAGACCTTGTGGTATCTGTTATTGCAAAAAAAAAGAACATTTAAAACTTCTGCTACAACTTGCCTCTAAAGAGCTACTCTCAGCATTTTAGTATTCACTGTTGTATATTTAAACTATTTTTGAATAATTATCAATCTACAATAGTTATTTCCAATACCCCAGAAAGATGGGATTCAGACAAGTTCCAATTTGGCAGAGCTCAATTTGCTTTCTCAATGCCTATCCAATGAAATCCCTTTTTGGATTTCAAATCGATACCCTAACAGGGGTTTCCAAGATTGGCTAAATTGATGACCACGTGCTACCAGTTTTACATTTATATTATGTTTGGATCAATGCCGATGATTTGATTGGAATAGGAGCAGCTGCACATAAAAAGTCTTTGGGGTGAGAGAGATTTGTCACGCTCCACTCTGATAAGAACTAAATTTGGGGAGTGTGCATTTTTAAATGTTCATGGTACCACATTAAATTGCTATCAAATGGAAGCAATTACAAAGAATTAACAAGAGCTCCAAATCAAAATTCAAAAGAAGAAAAGCACACAGTTTAAAAAGAAATACATCAGGAGAAGGAATCACAAAAGCTCTCTGGTGTCAGGTTTACAGCTTGATGGAAAGAGGAAAAACATTTCCTTTGCAAGTGCATTCCCACTAATACCCATCTCCCAAACACCTCAGCCTGATTTCTTCCTCTCTGCTCTGTCAACGTCTTTGCCCCCCACCCTCACTCTCCACACCCAGAATCACCCCAGGAACGCTAATTAGCAGCAAACCAAGGGTTTTACACAGTCCTATTTGACACAGTCTTTCCTGAAAAGCCTGAATGCAAACTTCCCAGTTTATGCTTTTAATACCAAGGTCTGTAGCATGACAAATGATAAATCGCAAATGCAAACTTACCATAAAAAGTCAACTGTCCTCTTGCTACATTTTTCCCTCTTGAATTTTCAGCCACACATTCATATAAACCAGCATCTTCCTGCTGAAAATTGGGGATTTCAAGAATTCCATTTGACTTGTGTCTTCTGGCTTTCCTTGCTATAGGCTTTCCATCAGCTCTTCTCCAGATAATAGTTGGTACCGGACTGATAGCGAGAATAAAAAGAAGTGCATCAAATTCGAGAAAACTGTATCTTTTATTTGAACCTATACTTCCCATAACCCTTTCCTTTTTGGTTCTGAACAGATAAGCTTGCCTTAGACAGTATTTCCCAAACTTCATTCATTCATATATCACTATTATGATTTTAGCCATATCCACATTTCTAGTATTACTATTCTATATATTGTGTTTTTCTTAGAATCAAATAACCTTTCTTAACCTTGAATAAAAACATGTGATATTATCACTAAAATAAAATCAGATTTTTATATGTTTGTTATATTTTTTAGTGTAACTGTTTTTTCCTAAATCATAAATATGAAAATAAAAATGTTCATGCACAAATGTGTCAGACTGAAGATGACGGCAATTCTTTCATTCTTCCCATACGACGTCCAGGTCCTCCTCCGCCTTAAACCTGCTGGGTTGTTTGACTACTTTCATTATTGAAATAAGACAGAAGTGATGTTGTGTCACGTCAAGGGTTAGGCAAGAAGAAACTGGCAGCTTCCATTTTCTGTCCCTTGGAACATTCTCTATAGAACCTTACCAGCTTGTAGCAGCAGTTCACTAGGAGAGTGGTTTGAGGAAATTTCACTTAAAATAGTAAGATAAGGGAAGAAGCCATCTGTGGAGTCTTTATGTACTCTCAAGGCATCTATCATCCTACAGCCGTAACAGTGAGAACACATCTTAAATTGCAAGGAGGGCATCACTGAGTCTGCAAATCAATGGTTTAGCAAGCTAACCACAGCTTTTAAGATTGCAACTTCCTACCAGGGGATACAATTATTTACTTATTTATTTTTCACAAAACACACACAGAGAAGTAATTAGGCTAAAGACTTGCTAATCTTCTCTGGAAAACCTGAGATGGTATTTAAAAAATTAAAGCCATCAATTCTACTATACTTGTTTTAGAACAATTTAAGTTAATTCAACAGACACTAACTCAAAATGCAGAAAGGGCTCTATCAAAAGTACATTACGGGTGCCTTTACATTTGATGAGATATACACTTAATATGTGCCTTTACAAATAACTGTACTTAGATATAGTCTTCCTGCTCGTAAGTGGGCAATGATGATGTGTTTTGGCAGCTGGATATGCATACCCAAACATTTCTGTGTAGACTGGAGGAGCCCAATTTTGGTCTTTTGTTTTTATTCCAGTGCCATTCAAGCACTGTGAATAGAGTTTAATTCATACCCCCTTTGAAGTATGAACGATGTAAATTTTGCTCTTTTTCCAAAAAAGATTTTTCAAGGTGTCACCTTGCATGGTTTACCAAATTTATACCTGGCCTATCCAGCTACCTGCTTTCACCTTTTCCCTGGATTGTGTTTCCCAATGTATATATTTAAAATAAAAAATGGGGCCATGTTATACTGTTTAGCAATCTGCTTTTAGTCTCTTAGCAATAAATCATGGGTATTTTCTCTGTCTCATATGTTGCTTTACAACTTGACTTTTAATGTCTGTACAGTGCTCAGTTCTATAGATATGTCATAGCTTATTTAATGTGGTAAGTTTTCAGGATACAAAAATTTATCATTGTATTGTAGCTTAACACCGCCCTGACTTAAAAACATGGAAACCAAAAGAATCCTTTTATTAGAGCTGAAAATCCAATGATAAAAAGGAACATCTTTCTTCTATGGTTGCTGTGAAATGCAAAAAATTTACAGAAACAGATTAGATGCTAATATGGGGGTCGAGCACAAGTTAGTGTTGTTGCCTTAGTCAACATTTGGGCACAGGGAGAGGATGAGGAATTAGCAATGGGCTAGCCGGAGAGAGGGGGTTGGGTGTAGAGAATAACACCAATCATTAAAATCCACAGATGATCTAAAAATTCTCATTTCAGATGATAGTATCATTTGTGCCAAACCTTTTTTTCAGGGTTACTGGGAAAATCTTAACTGATCTGTGTTTCATTTTCTTTAGGCCCTCTGAGAGATACCCTACGGAAATGTTAAGGGGATCTCAAGTAGGCTTATCACTCCACAGACTTAATAATAAAGTTGTGAATAATTTTCAGATATAAGATCTTACGTATCTTTAGCCAGAAGAGAAGGAAATCCAAAGTAAAGAGAAGAGACTGGTCATTTAAAAATAAATTCAAGAAAAGTTTGATGCATCCTCTGTAAACTAGGGCCAGAAGGAAAGTCCATATTTTCCCAAATAGTCAGCTTGAGTGTACCTCAAATGAAGGCCATTGTTTTCCTGTCATTCTGGGTTAGACAGCGTGCACATTACAGGTCACAATAATAGAACAAAGTACTTTTTCAGAATTGCCCATTCTCTTCTCTTTTGTGGCCACATCAATTGTGGCAGCCTAATCCCCCTTGCACCATTACATGTCCCCTCTCCATGGTGAGAGGGCAGAATCAAAGATGCATACATAGAATTACAAAAAGAAAGGCCTGTTTTGCTTTTCAGTCACCTCAGAAACCATCGCTATAAACAGTGCAAATAAAATTCTCTACCTGCCCCAGCTGAAGGGAGGACAAGATGGAAGAGAAACCAGAACTTACTTTCCTAAGGCAAAGCATTCCAGCTTCACTGTTGTTCCTTTGGCAGTCGGCACTGTTTCTGGGAAATGTACTTCTATTTTTGGCTCATATTCACCCATCACCCCTGTGAATAAACAAAGGAACTAAGTCTTTGAGGTTCTTTTAAAATGTACATAAGTGTTTTTCTGTTAATGTAGGATGCTCTCATACATCATTATGTGCACAATTAATTTCTTCGTTTAAAGCTGGTTCTATCTCTAACCAGCCTTGAATTGTGGCTCTTCTCCCAGTTACTGCTAGGGGAAATTTTGTATCACAGTGCCCTACCATCTGCCTAGGATAAAATTCTCCGTGCATACAACTTCACTTATCAAAAAACCTTTTTTTTTTTTTTTTTAAGGCAGTCACCAACCAAAAAAGGAGGGGAGAGATAAAGTCCTAATCACCAGGAAAATCAAATAAATTATCTTTTTGAAAACATACTGCAGAAAAATTTTAAATATTCAGAAAAATACTTCCATGGTCTATTATGTCTAGATAAGAAAAAAATCTGAATAATCAATTTGTGAACACAAATTACTTTATCATTCACTTTCAACACCAATCCGAATTAATCATAAATTCGTGCACAGAAGGTAACATCAAATGTCAGTATTATTGTATTCTGAACCAATGTAAAAAGGACAGTAGCAAGCAACTACAGAAAATAATCTTAAAATTATACCCACCTTCCTAACGGCATGTTTACTTTGAAGGTCATATTCTCCCACTTTCCCATATCCTACAAAATGCACAACTGTGGCCATGGTAACACAACCTAACAATCTAAGTCCATACTTTATAACTAAAGACTTATCAATTATTTCTTATCAACACATTCTTGATCCCATCTCCCACTATTCTAATTGATCGAATACATTTATTTCTATTCAATTTCTATTCCTTTTCCATGGTCTCTGATTCAGCTGTGCCAGTATAAAGTTTGGAATTATCTAACTTACTAAGAAATGATAAGATCCTCCATTTCACCTCTCTTTTAGGTTTCCCATAGTTACAGAAAAAAAGACTGAGGGATTCAGAAGAAAAGGTAAAAGCAAGGAACAGATGAGGACAGGTAAAATGACAGAGAGAAATAATTCCACTCATTTTGCAGAGGTGATCCTTTTCATCTGCAGCTTTAATGTTTGGGAAGAATCAAGGGGATTTCCTTAATGTGTAAAAGGAAAAATCAAGACTGTCAGATGGCATAACTGTCTAGCTAGGTTTTCTATGAGGTATGTCATCAACAGTGCAAAGTTGAACGTAAGTGTTTGGTTTTTTCCTTTCCTACAATGACAGGGAAGATTGGATTTGGAAGGGACCCTTGAAATAATTTAGTTGAGCATTTTTAATCTTGGCATCCATGGATGCACACTTTACCACAGACAGGATCTATAGTTAGCAACCTATTCTCAGAAGGACTCTGAATAGGGGCACCTGGGTGATACAGTCGGTTAAGTGCTCGACACTTGGTTTCTGCTCAGGTCGTGATCTCAGGATCAGCCCCTTGTCAGGCTCCCCACTCAGTGTGCAGCCTGCTAAAGTTTCTCTTTCCTTCTCCCCTTGCCCCTCCCTGCTATGTGAGTGCCTGCACTCTTTCTCTCTAAAATAAATACATCTTAAAAAAAAAAAAAAGGACTCAAAACCACTTTCCCCCCCATTATAATCAGTCCTAATCTGTCTTTTCCTTTTGTGAGCAAGGTTGTAATCTCAAAGGGGTCAAGCAGTTTATCTTCAGTTTTACAACAAACTAGTTAGTGTTTCAGGCTGCATCTCTCATCCACGATTCCTCTTTTATTATGGTGTCTCACCACTGCAATGAGTAACACTACAAAACTAGATTCAAATACACGAATTCCATGCTTGCCACAAAAAGATACAAAACCATTCCTTCCTTTTTGGCCGGTCTGAGTTCTCTTGCACTTAAATTTGGGTTTGCCTTTCTTTGAGCCTTTGCCACAAAGTTGGGCCAGTAAAGAAGTGGTGCTTGCTTATGATGGCATTTGCACACAGCTGCTGAACTTGCTAACCAACAGCGTGCGGTTAACTCATCGTCCCATAAATATCAGTAGTATGACTATGAGTGCAGGAACAACTTAACACCTTTTAGTGCTGTGTGTGTGGTTATGTACTCCAAGAGCAGTGCTAATTAAAAAAAGAATTGCTTCGAGAAAAAGAGGTCTTTCGTGCTCCCAGGAAATCAAAACAATCTGCATTGCAGTGTATCCTGTGTGGGAGGGAGAGGAGACAATAATGTTAAAATACAAGGGGCAAGGCTGTTTCAGCAGCCATCGGGTTTTCCCCCTGCCTCCTCTTTCTATAAACATTCATATACACTAGGTTTCTTTAACTCAGCTCTAAAAGATATACCAAGGAGAGTAGATATATCTCACAGGACCTTTTCCAGAGAAACTGAAATATCACTGCAATAAAGAGACGGAGTGGAAGATACCCTGGCCTCTTCTCTCCTCATCCTAAACTCCTACATACCAGGGCTCAGACTCAAAGTCCACGCCTCCAGGATCCTTTTCCTCCTCTGTCTGGCCTGTTCTCTAGTTCACAGTGGCCTTTAAATGACCAGAGAGCAACAAAACTTCTTTGCCTCAGTTCTCATTGTTTCCCCTGATTTCTTTAAAAAAACAAACAAACAAACAAACACACACACACATTTATGGAGGTATAATTTACATACAAAAACCTGACCAATTTTAAGTGCAATTCAAAGATGTTTGGTAAATTGACCAAGTTGTGAAGCCATCACCATCATCTAGTTTTAGAGCATTTCCATCACCCATGATCCTTCCTACCTGCTCATAGTCAATCCTCAGAACCTGTTTCAGCCCCAGGCAATACCTCTAATCTGCTTTCTGTCTCTGAGAATTGCCTTTTCTGGACATTTCATATACGTGGAATTAGACACTCTGTGTTCTTTTGCATCTGGACCCTTTCATTTGGCAGAATGTTATCAAGGGCGGCGCCTGGGTGGCTCAGTCGTTAAGCATCTGCCTTCAGCTCAGGTCATGATCCCAGGGTCCTGGGATCGAGCCCTGCATTGGGCTCCCTGTTCGGCGGGAAGCCTGCTTCTCCCTCTCCCACTCCCCCTGCTTGTGTTCCTGCTCTCGTTATCTCTCTCTCTATCAAATAAATAAAGAAAATATTAAAAAAAAAAAGAATGTTATCAAGGTTCATCCATGTTGCAGCATGTATCAGCAGTCTGTTCCTTTTTATTGCTGAATAGCAGTAGTCAACTGTATGGAGATACCACATGTTATTTATTTGTTCCCTGGTCATATTAGCAACAAGGTAACACAAAGTGAGTGGCTTAAAGAAAAAGAAATTTATTCTCTTATAGTTCTGGAGGCTAGAAGTCATAAATGAGGGCCATGACAGGGCTCCACACCCTCTGACACTCTGGGTAGAATCGTTCCTTGCCTCTTGCTGCCTTCTGCTGGTGGCCATCGATCTTTGGTGGTCCGTGCCTTGCAGCTCCATCACTCCAGTTTCTACCTCTGTCATCACACAATATTCTGTGTGTCTTATTGTATTTTTACAAGGACAACAGTCATATTGGATTAAGGACCCACTGTCATCCATAATGAATTCATTGAACTAATTACACCTAAAAGACCCTATTTTCAGATAAGGTCATATTCTGAGGTACTTGGGGGGTTACATCTTCAACATAGCTTTTTGGGGGGACACCATTCAACCCATAATACCAGTTAATGGGCATTTATTTAGGTTGCTTCCTCTTTTGGCTATAAGGAGTAATGCTTCTAAGAACATTTGCATGCAAGTCTTTGTGTGGAAATGTCTTTCATTTCTCATTTCCCCATGATTTTTACATGGATGACTTTTCTCTTGCTACATGTCTCAGCTCAAATGGTGCCCCCTTCAGAGAAGTTTTTTCTGAACACACTATCTAAAATAAGTCCCTATGTTATTCTTTACTAACACCTTATTTCTTCTATGTTAATTATCACAATTCATAATCATCTTGTTTATTCATGAATCTAGTATCTTTCATTTCATCTAGATTGTAAAATGCATGACATCAAGTAATGTGCCTGCCTTTTTCATATGTACCTCTAGCTTCTATCATTGTTTCTTCACTTAGTAGGTAATGAAAAGCTACTGCCATATAAATAACGTCATTTTACACATAAATTCTGGGCCCCTCTCAAACAGCATTACTGTTTTCTATCATCTTTATAGCTATTTATATACATGTTATCTCTTTGTGCTTTCACTTCCTGGAGGAATGGGAATTCTTCTGATTTTTTTCTGTAGCCCTCACAAATCCTAGTTCAGTACCAGGCATATGGAAAAAAAAAAAAAAGTGATCAGTAGGAGTTTGTGGAAGGGAGGAAAAGATGGAGGAATATGGGTCTTATACTATGACACATAGTAGCCATTAAGGCAAACATGTACTTCTTTCCAGGCATGGAAGTCATTTCTAAAGTATCTCATCACGGCTTCTTGTATGAGTTTACTCATTTATACCAGGTGTTTTTCTAAAATGAGCTCTAGGTTGTTTAGGTGGTCATATGGGTGATTTCTGGGTTGATACATACTGATCTATATTTATAGCTATAGAAATTAAAGTAACAGAGTTAGCAATAATACAGATTGATCTGGATTTATAGCAGTAGTTATAGGACATAAAGATATGGATCAGAGATGGGATGGCATGGTTTTCATGATGTTTAAAGAATTTTCATTATATATAAAGATTGTCATAGTATTAAAGTCATAAAAAATGAAGGAAGCAATTTTCTCCAACTATATTATCAACATTTTGGGGGGGTGGGCACCTGTGAACTGTTTCATTTAATTTGGTTACATCTGGCCGAAGCTGTATTTTTATTTGACTGTTTATTTCATTTTAACTATTTTGGCCTTTACTTTCTACATTAAATTTAAAAAGCTATTGCTGTTTCTATTTTTTATGAAACAAAAGGTCCCTTAAAACAAGAGTACATTTTTCAAGTCATTCCTCTGACCACCTGTACACTTTCGAACTTAATTGTTCTACAGCTGCTCTGCTGATTTACGGAATGATTCGGCAGAAAGAGGCTACTGATG